ATTGGGATTCAAAATCTCCCCAGACCTCAGATGGAACTCATATATCCGATCTATTGCTATAGATGCTGGGAAAATATCTGGCTCCAAATGCTCTAATCATTTTTTTTTATGATGGCAGAAATATTCGAAAAATTCGCTTGTATCAAATTCTGTATGAAGTTTGGCAAATGCATTGCCAAGTTTTTGGCGGGTATGTTTTAAGTTGTACAAAGTATACTCCGCATGTTTCAAGAGCCAGTTCAGTGTAAATGGAATATTGCTGCCATATCTTTGCTTCAACTGTCTAGACTTTATTTGATTGTCTTGATAGTGTTCAGTAGTTCACTCCGGGGACTAGTGGGTGAGTAAATATTTACTTTTTCCATGGACGAAACGTCTCTAGCTTCTCGCTGTTCTATCGCTATTTCCATCACATGTGTTCTGATGAGTTGCATTACTTAGTCCCACTATCCTGAACCTTTACAACTGGGACCTGCCACGCCACCTACACAACAGTTAAATATTCTTATTCTCTTTGTATTCCAGTAGTAAGAAAGAAGTTCCACTCGGACAGCTTCTTGCCAAGAACTGATGCTTTGTGGAACTCGAAATCACTGTAATCTTAACAATCACTGCAATCTTAACCTCCTTAAGTTTAGAGTTAACCGTTATCTTTCCTACATAAACAACGAAATTCACTTCTTGCCTTTTCTTACGGACATACAATACCACATAGTAACCCTATAATTTTTGTAGCTCATGAACCTTATAGAGCGTGAACATTAATATATTAAAAAGTATTTTAAAATTTCAGTATTGAATAAACACAGATTCTCTGGTGTTTTGCAGGTGAGGTATCTATAACCGACACCCAACCGGCCTTGAAACATGCGAAGTAAACTTTGTACAACTTAAAAAATATTCGCCCAAAACTTGGCAATGTAAATTTTCCAAAATTCTCACAGAATTTAATACAAGCAAATTTCTTGAATGTTTCTGCCATCGTAAAGCTGTTTCATGTCAAAGTTAAAAAGAAATCGTGTAATGATTGAACATAACTAGATACTCAGTCAGTCAGTTATGTGCCATTTGTGATACATGCGTAGGCGAACTTTCGATACATGACTGACGAGACAGATTGTTTTCCCCGTAGTAGGTTACCATTTCTTTCTGCGGTAGACCAGTTGCCATCAAAGGCTATAGAACCTGGTCTGTCCTGCTAAGGGGAAGATAGGATCCATACCTTTCCCAAGGGCACGTAAGTGAATGCAAAGGATTCGACTGGAATTCAAACTCGGCTCTCCGAGTACTCAGTACGAGCCGCTATCCTCTACTCCACCGTGCCTAGACACTACGAAACCTATTATCAGATGGTTTACTGCTACTTTATATGCTGCCCAGTCTTCACTTTCCATTTTCGATAGATCAAAAGCGTCTCAGGGTACTTGACGAATTATTTTCCAGCCTACATCACTTTTCTCAAAGACGAAACTTCGGAATACTTTATTGCTCTATCCCATGGGAAGTGTTCAAATGAACTACATTCTTTTGTTTCACCAGTCATAACCTAAGACTCTCCATTCCTAAAACAATGCAGCAAACGTCCCTCATTCGCTTCGTCTTCCATTGGTGAGATGCAAGTTCCACTCGAATAGCTTCTTCCTACCAATCCTTGCTTTTGGAAGCGACTCCCAATAGGATGCTTCCTCGATTACTGCAATATTAACCTGTTTAACAGGTTTAGGCTTAACCGTTATCTTCCCCACTTATCCGCATAATAATTGCATCTTACACTGTAACGCTCTACTTTGAGTGGCTTTCGGAACTTGCACAGTGTAGGGATCATTGTAATAAGAAAATCCACTAGACTTTTCTTTTCATGCACAGTTATTTTAAAACAGAAGCAACTTATGGGAAATACTAATGGTATATTTTAGACGTTTTTCCCAAATTTATTATATACATGATATAATATTAGAGTTAATTTCTTTTAACAAATGGACATTTTTTAACGAAGTAGGAATGTCGATTAAATGTTAACGTGAGACTTGAATCTTTACATTTACTTAACATTGACTTTTTATTCACTACAATAATTCGTTAGCTACTTTTCAATACCAGCTCGTATCATTCTTCATTCGCACTCTGTGAGAGACCTCTCGAATCAAAACTCTATATTGTTTCTATATAGTCTGTTGCTTCTGATATATATAAGATATATATATATATATATAATTATAGATATATATATATCTATAATTCTTGACAAAATTCAAATAACATTACTTGTCCTGACCTGCTATTTCAGTTTCATTCACTTTCTAACCACCGTGACTTAGCTTCCCCACTTTGGTACCTCAATTACACCGATTTAAACGCTGTACTAGATTGGCAGTTATGTCTCACCATTTTATTTTTGAAATTTCTAGGTAAAATCATTTTTCTCGCTTATGGAACATTATTCTGGTTTCTTTGCTTTCCATTCAATTTTGATTTTCAAGAGTTCAAATATAGGGTCGTTCGTCATCGTTTCTGATTATTTTTATATCGTCTTCTTTCTTTAATAATGATTTTCCTATCATTTCTTTCATTCTCTTGCGTCTTAGAGACTTTATTAGATTTTTTTAGGATGAAATGATTTTATTTAAAAATTTCTATCTGTCCAATAACCTCTTTATCATGCTTGCAGTAACAGAGGCAGATTTGAAACCGTGTACTTCTGCATTCGGTGGCTGGAACTAACCACAGGTGAAACCTTTGCTATACTCTGCTTCCTTTATGACTGGTGTGATTTTGAATGCGATGTCGATTCCGGAATAATACCAAAGTTGTATTGATCAACACACAAAAAAAGACGGAATTATTTATGGATAGGTACTTCAGTCTCGGATCAAAATATCTCTGCGTTCTATCTACGGTCAGTGGCTCCCACATCAGCTTTCTGCCGAAGGTAAAAACCTATTATCTATTCCTTGCTGTACCGGGGTTTAACTTGCGACTAGTTCATGGAAAAGCAGTGAGGGAAGCCTAGAACTAGAGTTTCCAATCCAGCGCCACTAGCTCCCTTGAAATGGTTACGGTCAGCTATTTTGGTACCATTGTTCGCTGGGGCTAGAGAATATTTGTCTGTGTCCCATATGTACTTATGTAGGCGATGAATGTTAAATCGACCATGTCTCACATCCTTCCCGCGTGGGTGATAGGAACGTAACGTCATAAACTATATCCGTCGTGTGAGTGGGTCAGTTGTGTAAACTTAACACCCTGAATGTTATTCTGAAAGCAAGTGTTGCTTACCTGGTGATTATTAACTGCTGTTAAACACGAATAATCTGCTTGCATTTTGTGAGATACTACTGTAGTTATGGAAATATCTTTGCAGTTCGTTTTCCAGAATTCTTCGATTTAACGTGTCTCTTCAGTCCCTTTTTTTTGCCATTTTAAAGTTTGTATTTTTGCAATGTATCCTAATCCTGTTATGCTAAATATTTACACCAAATCATTTTGTAGATTAGACAATAATTACATCAGATACTCTTGACTTCAAAATGTCGTGTTAGTGTCAAATTGTCTTAGCTCTCTTTCCTCATTATGTGCTCAAGAAATTTCAACTTTCTCCTTCTGATGTTAAATGTCAATACGCTTCTCACTTTTCGTCATAACAATATATATATATATATATATATATATATATGTGTGTGTTTGTTGAGGCGCATTGTTATATACAGAGACGTATGAATAAAGAAAGAAGGGACTTTGACGCAATAAGAGAAAGCTTTGACGGTGCATGACCTGCGAACACATAGGTATATATTTGCTACACGAACTAAGTAAGATAGAAATGATAAGGAAATCTACAGTGCAACGGTCTCATAATCTTGAGAAACTATAATAAAATAACATAGACAAACTAGAAAAAACAATCACAATTTTTTTTTTTAAATATGTCATTCGAAATAGACATAAAACTAACCTAAACGAAACAGATTTTCGTGATGTCATCTTCAACCAGAGAAAAGGTACATATAAACCATACACAAAACCCACTGAAAAACCAATTTATATTCACACACACACACACACACACACACACACCTTACAACTACCTGCTTTCAATAACCAAGCAGATACCACTGTAAATTAAATGCAAGCATTCCGAAAATACTTGGAATAAAACCAGTTTCAGCGAAGCCAAACAAGACTATGTATCAGCCCTAAAACATAGAGGACTCCAGGCCTCATTCGCATACACAACACAAAAAAGCCAACAGGAAGAGAAACATATGATTCAACCTACCATACAATAAAAGCAACAAATCACCTAAACAAATTACACCCACCTGTAACTGCAGAATAATAATAAAAAAAATAAAAAAAAAAAACAAATTTCGCTTGAAAGATTATTGCTTGCAGGACAATCTAATATACCAAGCCACTGTAAAGTCAGCAGATAACGAAGAAAAATATACATAAGAGGAACTGAAGGACTCAGGAAAAAAGAAACTTAAGTAAATAAGCGAATAACTTAATGCTCCACGAACATATCTGCGAAATTAAAAACCAAAATTAAAACACACTAAAAATATCATGGAAAATAATCAACAGTACACCAACCTACATCAATTAATCTGAAAAATGTAAACCTGCCTGGTGGAAAAAATAGTTATAATTGCTTCCTTAGATTAAATAAACTATTCAATAAATGTTCAGAACTCAACTCAAAATGCAAATAAATAAGTAACTTAAGTAAATAATCAACGAATTAACAAAAAGTACCCACCAAAATAATTTTACAATAATACAATAGACTACTCGCAATGAATCATATATATATATATATATATATATATATATATATATATATATATATATATATATAAGTAGACCAAAAACAGCGCACATGGCCTGACGATTTAGTTTAGTATGAGACAAACCGTTGCCTCTGGTGTTTACTATATATATATATATATATATATATATATATATATATATACGGAGCACAGACAAAAATGATTACATTATTACAGAATATCCAAGTTGCACACACGGTCGCTCGTGTGCGCACGCCCACACACAGATAGATAGATAGATAGATAGATAGATAGATAGATAGATAGATAGATAGAAATTTCACTGAATAATACTCGATCGATTTCATTAGTGAAGACTTGAGTATATTAAGGAAGAAAATGAAATTTAAAAAAATGTTTTTATATGTAGAATGTGATGTATGTGTGTGTGTGTGTGTGTGTGTGTGTGTGTGTGTGTGTGTGTGTATAAATGTATCATTATGAAGAGAGTTTAACAAAATTAAGTAAGAGACAGGCGAAGGCCCACCCACTAAGAATTACACACCGTTTTCTTCACTGTCTGTTAATACCATTTTATATCCATTTTTGTTTGGGTCTTAAGAACAAAAACCTGATATGGGTTTAATTCTTTTGATGCCAAAAAGAGCAGTCTTTTAAAATATTTTTTGATAGTTTTTTAAAGACACGACTAAAATGTCGCCGTCCTTGTTATGCTGCTTAAAAGAATTATTCGGCTGCCACGGTGATCTTTTAGCCAAACTTCATTAGAACGCATTATATATGAGACGTTTATAATCTATCCGTGAAATAATATATATATATATATATATATATATATATATATATATATATATATATGTGTGTGTGTGTGTGTGTGTGTGTGTGTGTGTTTCTGTCTATGTATTATTATTTCTTTCATCGAGAATTGCCAATGATTATCGAATTTTAATTGTATATATTGCATCTAATTATTGTTTCCAGTTATTGGATATTATTCATTGATGCTTAGGTAGATTGAAAATAAAATATATCCTGCGTCAATTTATCCCCTTTGGATACGAAATCGTTAAAACCAAGCTAGCATGACAAGCTAATATTTTTTTGTTTTTTAATCTAAAAAACATGGTAAATTTATATTTTCTGAATTGAGCACTTTTTAATAAAAATGTTTCCTGATCTAATTCAATTCCGACCAATAACTTTATATATATATATATATATATATATATATATATATATATATATATATATATATATATATATTTTGGAAAAGATATGAATCCATTTTTCTTCTCAGTTATGGGAACGTAAACAGGACAGATCAGATGCCAACCAAACTAGGAGAAGGAATAACTGAATTCAAACCGAATCGCACTATCCTAAAAGCCTGTATATATGCTGGTGGTTACCGCTTGTGTTTCCAAACTCTCACTGAAACTCAGACTATGGATTTGCCTATCCGAATTAATTAGACCCTTGCTTTCGTTCGCAGATGGTGTGTCCGTTTGACGTAGCTGACTCAACTAACCGTGCGGTAAATGTCGCAACAGGTACATGTGCATGTTAATATATGTATATATATGTGGTGTAATGGTTATCAAGCTTGTCTCGATAGAACAATTACGACTGAGTAGTGAGTTCGATACTCACTGGGTGCCCCATACCTTCGGCCTTGTGCCACATCTAAGCCGGGCTTAGAAAATCACTATATATATATATATATATATATATATATATATATATATATATATATATATATATATATATGTGTGTGTGTGTGTGTGTGTACATTATGAAATGGACAAAGTCCGACAATTATTTTATTTTAAGACATTTTTTTATGTTTATACGTTCTTTTATAGATACAAATATTTTAGTAAATTCTCTGTCTAAAATAAGCAGTATTAACGTTATTTGCCGGCCTCATCTTTGGCTCAATCAGTAAAAGCCGTCAGGCTATATGACGGTTTCGGACAGGATACAGGTTCGATTCCTGTCGGAGGACGTATATTTTGTATAAAAATTTTTCGGACATTCAGGCCGGTAAATGTTGTTAATACTGTTTATTATAAACAGAACATTTACTTAAATATTTGTATCTATAAAAAGAACGTATAATATATATATATATATATATATATATATATATATATATATATATATAGAGAGAGAGAGAGAGAGAGTGATAATGAAAAGAGACAAAATTTGTGTCAGTTCATTAAAAAACGTATCGTGTTTACGAGATTTTGGCCTTGTCACGTGGCGATATGAAGAAATATCCCCAGGTTGTCTGCAATTGAGTTATGAACGTTCAATCTCGCTAGAGGAAATTTAATCATGTTTGAATCAAGTACCTTACATAACCAATACAATATTATCTTGCCATTGCGGGTATCGGGGGAGGAGTATAATACCTGTAAATCAGCCGGGTGTTTTGGAACCATCTTTGGACCAGTCGATTGCCATTATCTTATACTGAACTTTCCCATCGGGGCACATGGGGTGCATAAATAGCTTTAAATGGCCTGTAACAGGATCTCTGTGGGTCACACCTGTCAAAACACACACCGGATTCACTAGTGGTATTTGAAAAGTCCAGAAAACATATCCAAACTATTACAGAGAAATTGAAGATCTCATTAACGGTCGTTTAGACCTAGAGTATCACGTATCAATCTAAGCACACGGGCCCTACAATCAGTGGGAAAACGTTGTCAACATCAAGTGTTTGACGAGCATTAGATTTTAAGTTTCAAATATCTTTATTTTCCGGGCAGAAGCCAATACTATTGTGTCAATAAGTGTAATACTTTCGGGTCAACGAATAGAAATTCCAAGAAATGTCACATATATCTTCAAGCTCAACACATTTTGTCCAACCGCAGGATGGTGATTCCATGCTGTCTTTAATTTGAGGACACTTCAATTTATTATCTGTCTATATTTCTGAGATGAGGTATTATGTACACTATTTACATTATTCGGTCTATTGTCCTCATCTTTGTCGCCATATTTATCACAACGTTTCGGCCCTTCAGTATCTGTCTATATTTCTGAGATGAGGTATTATGTACACTATTTACATTATTCGGTCTATTGTCCTCATCTTTGTCGCCATATTTATCACAACGTTTCGGCCTTTCAGTATCTGTCTATATTTGTGAGATGAGGTATTATGTACACTATTTACATTATTCGGTCGATTGTCCTCATCTTTTTTGCCATATTTATTACAACGTTTTGGCCCTTCAGTATCTGTCTATATTTGTGAGATGAGGTATTATGTACACTATTTACATTATTCGGTCGATTGTCCTCATCTTTTTTGCCATATTTATTACAACGTTTTGGCCCTTCAGTATCTGTCTATATTTGTGAGATGAGGTATTATGTACATTATTTTCATTATTCGAACTATTGTCCTCATCTTTCGCGCCATATTTATTACAACGTTTCGGCCTTTCAGTATCTGTATATATTTCTGGGATGAGGTATTATGTACATTATTTACATTATTCGGACTATTGTCCTCATCATTTCTTACAACGTTTCGGCTATTGTACGCTCCGGCCTTCTTCTTGGTTGGAATGTCGAACTGAACCCTTTATTTCGCTCACTGGGGTAGACTGTCCTCAAGGACACATGGCACAGTGGATAAAGGTGTTAGTTAGATCTAGTGGCAGGACCCAAAGTGTGTGAGTTCAATACCCGGTTAAGGCAGTGGAGAGGGAAAATTAACAGGAGATAACTGATAACTGACATCCATTAAACTTGGCACGTGGAACTAGAAAAGTCTACCCCAGTGAGCGAAATAAAGGGTTCAGTTCGATATTCCAACCACCTGAAGAAGACCGGAGCGTACAACGGCCGAAAAGTTTTCATAAATATGGCGACAAAGATGAGGACAATAGTCTGAATAATGTAAATAATGTACTTCAATTTATGTCGATACTATTACAAACCAACATGCAGGAGGATGTCCAAAAATCATGTTCAATGACATAATATTTGCAGTATGCGAATTCCTTAGATTTCTGAGTAAATTATAGAGTGACAATATTATCAAATACCAATCTACTATCCTCAGACTTCTATAAAACTCTGCGGATCATAGTGAAATTTTCTGACTTAATTACAAATTAATTTAATAATCTGTCAGCCTAAACTATACAGAAAAATAATGCATCGACTGTTTTTTTCGGGGTAGAGGGTTAGAGAATAAAAGGCAAATATTTGGGGAATACTTGAATAGGTTAAGTCTGTTTCGATCCGGGAACCATCAACTATGGAGTCTGTAATGGCGAAGTACACTGCATTTCTTGGTTGCTATTCTAGTCAGTCACCAGTGGACTTGTTGTTTCATCATCTGTGCACGCCCACATTGTTCAAAAAATAAAATAAACTGCCACATTGCTCCTTTTTAGGGGAACTAGCAGAATCTTTTTAAAAAACTTATGTATGAACACAAAAAAGGATCTTATACATAACTATTTATCAAATGAATTAATTATAGATAGGTATAAATTCAACTACAGAATTTATCGAAATAATACGATGCTTATTAAAAAAAAACAAGCTTTCACACTTATGCAAATCAACAGAAACAACCGCTTTAGTTCCCTTTCTTTTAATATACGGTCAGTTTCAAACTCACTGGAGTGACAAGGTGTAATCGATTTCTATTTCTCCTCAGATTACGTCATTTGCAGTGTTTTGTACAGTAATATGAATCTATTTCCGGGTTGTATGATGAAATTTGTTTGGCCTTGAAAAATATAGCCTCAACCGTGATTGCATTAATTTTTTTCACTCCCAGGCACTGTTGTCTTGACTGTCGATTAGTTGTCTTACGGCCAGCGTCTGCGATAGATGTTACTCCAGGGAAGCGCACGAAAAGTGTAACGCTGCACGATCAGAATGCAAGCGTTACCAGTGAGCAAATCAAAATCCTATAGATTGGCCCGGAAACTCTCCTGGTTTAAATCCAATCGAGAATCTGTGGTCAATCTGCAAGGAACGACTTCGTGGAATGGACATACAAAGAACTGACACGTGCATTGGAAAGTAAATAATAACGGAATTATTCGTTTTGTTTCATTTAATTTGCACAAGGGTGAACTTAGAGGGAAAATTCTTGAGAGTGGCGATGTTGATTTTTTCAAAAATCTCCATTCCTGAAAGAATAACTTCTTCCCAAGCCAAGATACATTTTTTTCGAAATTGGTTAAATTCCTAACTTTCTGTTATTAAAAATGTATAATATATAAATTAATCCCAAACTAAAATAATTTCAATAATAACTGAATGAAAAAAAGTCAACAACATCCTTTACTCACTTTCGTTTATCAGACAGTAAATTACGTCACGTGGCATCCTCCATAATACACCTACATTTTCAATTAAACTAATGAATATTGATGAATTTCTCTTAGATTTTTAATTTTTTTTAAAACTAAAAATAGTTTTACTTTAGTTTAAAAGTACATGTTGCAAAATGAAATTCTCACATAATCTCGATTAAGATGTTTTCCTTTTTTTTGTGTGTGTGTTTGTGGAAAACCTATTTTGATTTCTCCTCTTTTTGTTCAGACACAATATCCTACTAACATGCATATATATATATATATATATATATATATATATATATAAGCACGAAGATAGATAGATAGATAGATAGATCTCAGAAAAGTAATTATGCGAAAATATCTTAATACCGAAATTAATTGTTACATTAAATTTTAATAATTTACTATTTTTGATTTCTCTTCTTTTAATGAGATGCAATATCCTACTAACTCGCATATATATATATATATATATATATATATATATATATATATATATATATATATATATATATATATATGGCCTGACGATTGCGTCTAGCATGAAACAGACTGTCGCTTCTAAGTGTTGACTTCAATGTTCACTTTTTATATTTACACACGTTCCATCTCTGATATTGAGCAGTTTATCCCATAAGTATAGCACACATTAAGACTATATTTCTTTATACATACATACATATATATATATATATATATATATATATATATATATATATATAAACACGAAGGTAGATAGATAGATAGATAGATAGATCTCAGAAAAGTAATTACGCAAGATTATCTTAATACCGAAATTCATTGTTTCATTATATTTTAATTGACTAAAATCTACAGAATGTTTGTCATCATCCAATAATGTCCCTGATGATACTTAAACCTAAACGTATATCTTTGTGTATCTATATTTGTGTAGATTTTCTTTATTGTCGTGTTCATATCATTTCAATGTTTTTATTTTTTTATTTAAAATCAGGTTCTCTTTTATGTTTTTTCTTGTAATCATATTTCAAATTTAATTCCTTCTAGTAAACTTTTCATGTATATTAATTATAACACCGAGTTTACTCAGCGAAGAGTTGTCTGGCACAAGACAACATAACTGAGGGTGCGTGTTGACAATAGAACGACTGGGCTTTGAGCTGTTATTATAACGTTCCTACTGCTAAAAAATTTTTAACGTGAAGATCAATCTTACACATTTATAAATCTAATATTCATCCGGGCATTGAATATTGTTATCATATCTGATGTGGTGCTTCTTCTTTATACCTCTAACGACAAAATCCCCAAAGAGTCTCTAATCCTGACCTGCCATCTCGACTTCATTCACTTCACCCCTGGCTTCCATTTGTCTTTTCTCTAAATATTTTCATGTTAATTGTTCTAATGAGCTCACCTCCTTGATAAGCGTAATAATAGATTAGCTACTACGTCTCATCGTTTTGCTATTAAAATATCTCGTAAGTTCTATTCTATTTTTTCTTCCAGTTTCTTGCTTCCATGCCCCCTAAAATCTTCAAAAATTCAAATGCAACGTCAATCGCCATCTCTTGTCTCCTGAAGATTGTTCATATATTGTCTTTTCCACTCACTAAAGTCTTTTCATTTCTTTATTAATAGAAACCCCTTGCGTCTTAGTGACTTTATCCCTTTAATTCGGGTGAAATGATTGCAAAAATTTCGTTAGAAGCTTAAATTTTCTTCTTATCATTTTTAGTTTAAAACGTTACAAAATTTATTTGAGAAAAACCTTCTGCTTTTTCTCCAACGTTCTTTACTTCTAAAATAATTTTCCACTTTGATCGTGGTACATTAGTTTATTCTTTCATCAGTTTTAATAATTTTTCCCCGTCCCCGAACACATCCGACTAGCGTGTTTATTTGATTCCTTTTTCAGTCTGCTTGTCTGCTTTGTAATGACACCTGTCTCTATATCATCAACCAAGCCAGACTAAGCGGCGTCTCAGCAAAGACCTCACAACGAAACAGATGCAAAAGTGCTTCGTGATTATAAATTCCAGATTAAATCCCAATCGTAAGCAACTGAGATTATGCAGTCTGTAAAAGTAAGTACCAATACCAAAAACCTCCCGACCATAAACACGACAAATTTTAATGTTCCAAGATATGTTTGCATCACAATGTACAGAAATAGTAAAAAAATAAAATAAAAATTAACCAGATCATTAAAATAAAGGAAATTAATAACATTTTATTATATAAATAATTAAATGAGACAAAATACACGCAGGCATTATCACAAATTAAAATCATAATGGATTGACAGAATAATCGTATTAACGACAAGTAGAATGCAAATATCTTGCAAAATTTGTTGTTAGGATAAAATTCACTACAGTCGTAATAATAATAATAATAATAATAATAATAATAATCGAAATTTCAAAATGTTGGCGTGATGACATCAACAATTCTAGTTGTAGTTGAAATGATTAGAAAAGTTTCTGATAGACTCATTGAAGGGATCCCTTCTGGTACAGGCCTTGAAAGAATACCAAAAGTAAAGTACCGAAAAATAGATTACGAAGGGGTTTATTTATATAAAATGCGTCTGATATTGTTTGATATGCCATGTCATTTCTGATCTTAGGTCTCTGGTTAAGAGCCGTAATGAAAAGAATGTACTCCAGAAATCAAAGGAAATAATAATAATAATAATAATAATAATAATAATGAAATCGAAAACACAAAAATGTGGTGCATGGGAACATCAACAATCCCTGTTGTAGTTGGAGCCCTAGGATTGGTTGTTAAAGATTCCAGTAGACTAATTGAAGGGATTCCTGGAAGCCCATGCCTCAAAGAAATACAAAAAAAATTTCTCACAAGTACAGCCCATACTTTACGAAGGGCATTATCTATGTATTTTTTTTATTTCTTTTGTCAGTGGAAAGTTTCATGATGCCATTTCTAACCCTAGGTCTCCGGGCGGGACCCGGAAAGAAATGTATACACGCCAGAAATCAAAAGAAATATAAAAAAAAACAAAACAATAATAATACCACAAAATCAAAATTTGATTTCTTACTGACATGGCAGTCCCAATAGATGTCAATCTATTTTTGAAGATGTTCAAATACTATCAAAATACAAGGATCTTGAAGTAGAAATCTGATGTGGGGCCAAAGTTGGGACCACAGAAGGAAAACACGGAAATCGGATTAGATGTAAGAAAGATATATTAACAACAGGTTACAGAGATAGTGTAAGCGGAGCTTACTATATGTTAGTGTCCAATACAGGTAGTCGTACGCGGCTCTCACTGTGTCTCTATCTTTCTATGTCACTCTCTCTAGAGTGCTATGTCGCCTACTTAATATAGGCCTGGAAGAGTCTATTGTGTAGGTAGTTTTCGGTCTCAAACCCCACTTCCAAAGAGTTTTCTTTTTGAAAAGGAGAGAAAAAAATAAATCTTAATACTTTTTCCTCTTGGGATTTACGTGGAGTGGTTGAGTAAATTTCCTTTTCCTTCCTGAGCGTCGCACTTCAGGAGAGACTTGGGGCATGTCGAGATCGAAGTGATCGAAAATTACGTCGATCGGCTCTTCACAGCTATTTTGTAGTGATTCCTCCGATTCCTTCAAACGGCATTTTCTGAGCTGGTTCCAATGGCGTTTGTGAATGTTTTTTGTTCCTTGGACCATATATACCAGTTCGCCAATTCTCTGCTTTATGGTGCCCACTTCCCAGAATATCATATTGTTCTTGTACGCCTTGAAAAAGACCCTATCGCCAGGATTGAAATATTTCCTATAAGGCGATACGGTTTTTTTTTAACTTTCCTTGCCGTGGAATAAGTTTGTCGAAAACAGACTTTATTTTCCTTGCGAACATTGTTTCTGCAGGCGAGCTTCCCATATGCGTGTTCGGATTAGGGGTTATCCGATACACCTGCAGAAATTGTTGCAATGCTCTATCTGTCGGTGTGCCTAGTGCCTTTCTTAAAGCTCTTTTTAAAGTGTCCACGAACCTTTCGGCCTGGCCATTTGACTTAGGGTGTTACTGAGGTGTTGTAACGTGGTCCACCTGATATGACTGGCAGAAGTCTCTAAAGTCACTTGATGTGAATTGAGTGCCATTATCTGTAACTACACAATCTGCCACGACAAAACGCGCGAATAGCTCGTGTAGAAATCCGATCGTGCAGTTTGTGGTTGGTCTTTTACATTGTAGGACCTTAGGCCATTTTGAGTGGCTATCCACAACAATGAGATAGTACATGTTGTTCATAGGCCCTGCAAAATCCACATGAATTCTTTGCCAAGGATGATCTGTTTTGGGCCATGGTTTGCATATCGTGTTTGGAGTTTTTGCTGCAAGCGCGCATCCTTTGCATGATTCTATCATGTCTGTTATGTCCTTGTCCATGTTTGGTCAATAAACGTAGCAGCGCATGAGGCTTTTCGTACGGTTCTTCCCCGGTTGTCCTATGAGAAAATCCCTGAAGATTTTTCTTTGTAGGCTGTTTGGAATCACTACGCTGTGATTATATAGTAGGACATCATCGAAAACTTCAGGCACATTGTGGTCTTTGTTTCGAATTTTGCTTTTTATTGATTGAATGAATTCATCCTCTCGAGACTCCCTTTTTATGTCGGCCAAAGTAACTGCGAGCTCTCTTATGGTACTCGCGATCATGTTTTTGATTTCACAATTTGTCCTTAGAGTAGCAATGATGGAGTCTTCAAAGACTTCTGTATTTTTCGAGTACTCTGTCGCTATTGATATAGGGGAATGAAATTCTCGAATCTTTCCTTCGCCACTGTTGTGGGACTGACAAAATATTGCGGTTTTTCGACGTGAATGCGTTTCTCGAATTCTTCGTCGCCCCAGATGGGGTATTGGTAAGGTATTTAGGATTCGCCGTGAGTGCGTTTCTCGAATCCTCGTCTCCACTGATGTGGGGCCAAAGTTGGGACCACAGAAGGAAAACACGGAACACGGATTAGATGTAAGAAAGATATATTAAAAGCAGGTTACAGAGATAGTGTAAGCGGAGCTTACTATATGTTAGTGTCCAATACTGGTAGTCGTACGAGGCTCTCACTGTCTCTCTATCTCTCTATGTCACTCTCTGTATAGTGCTATGTCGCCTACTTAATATAGGCCTGGAAGAGTCTCTTGTGTAGGTAGTTTCCGGTCTCAAAATAAAATCGCAAAAATCTGGCACATGAGAACATCAATAATCTCAGTTGTAGTTGTTACCCTCGAATTGATTGAAAAAAACGTCAGTAGACTCATTGAAGGGATTTCTGGTAGCTGAAGCGCTTAAAGAATTACAAAAAAAATGGTTCCCTCAAGTACAGCTCACACATTACAGAGAGCTTTATCTATGTAAAATGTATGTGATATTAGTTTTGTTTTTTTTTTGTTTGTTTGCTTTTTTTTTTTTTTTGTTCTTTTCTTTTACAAAAATGATCGGTGGAAAATGTCATGAAATCCTTTCTGTCCTTAAGTCTCTGCTGGGAACCCGGAAGGTAATGTGTATACAACAGAAATCAAAGGAAATAATAATAATAATAATAATAATAATAATAATAATAATAATAATAATAATAATGTATGTGCCCAGATCCGAAGGAGGCAGAGGATTAGTTCAACTAGAACTGTCCTACAAAGCTACAACAATTGGCCTCCAAAGATATTTGGAAACTACAGAAGACTGGATGATGGTATGCGTCAAGGAACATGAAAGTAGTAAGCGTCTCTACTCCGTAATGAAGGAAGCCAACAAATTCAAAATGGAGTTCCAAATGGGCGTAGAGATGCAACTTCAACACAATACACCGGCTGAAACTGCAAAATACCTAAAAAGATAGCTAAGACGAATGCAACCGACCAGTTACAGAAGCGATGGCAAGATAAACCGCTTCATGGCCAATACTCTGCCCGTACCAAACAAGCTGACGTAGACAAAACCCGTACCCATCAGTGGCTACGTAGTGCAGGGTTGAAAGCGGAAACTGAAGGTTTTATCCTTTCTGCGCAGGACCAATGCTTGCTAACTAGGAATTATCAAGCACATATACTAACCTTAGCGGGACCCCGAAAGAAAGGTGTAAACGCCAGAAATCAAAGAAAATAATAATAATAATAATAATAATAACATTGAAAACAAGTATATACCAGTAATAGTAGTTGCGCTGGGAATGTGCAAACATTGTAAAAAAATCCCTGAAAGAGAAATGCACAAATATTGTCTTGATTAGTACAGCGCACACAATAACAAGAAATTTGTTCATCTAACGCTATTGATGTTATGAGAGTTAGAAATCAAATTATGAAAGCCATAACACAACACGACCTGCCTTAAGTGTTCTCGCAGTCATGGTAAGTAGTGTAACTATAGCAGAAATCAAAATATAATAATAATAATAATAATAATAATAATAATGAAAACAATTGACCTTATGTCACACTTGTGCATATGAAAAGTTATGAATTGATCTTGAAAGACGTTGCGGTACCTTGGGTATAAGAACATCGTGAAGGCGGAGCAGGTAAAAATCCAGAGGTGCCAAGATCCGTCAGGGAAAATCACAGAAATATACCAAGCATCATCTCACATTGTTTCCTTTGTGGTTGGCACATTTGGGACCATTTCAAGGAAGCTTTATGCCTCGCGGGACGCCTTGGGAATAACTAATATCATGGGGAGTGCGCAGGAGGTAACACTGCTTGAAACAGCTCATGTGCTGAGAAAAGGCTTGTGTCTCTAAGCCGCGGTTAGGAATTTAGATATGATCAACAGCACATTCAAAGAGGATATCAAATAATAATAATAATAATAATAATAATAATAATAATGATGATGAATATTGAAAAAAAAACTTGAAGTGATGGTTAGCAAGAACTGTGGCGGACTCCTCTCATTTAGCCTTGTACCAAACAGAGATATCATTAATAAAGCCTCAGCAATATTAAAATTAACATAACAACCAGAAGAGTAATTATATTAATAACTAGCAGCATGACCCAGCGTTGCCCGTGCTTGATTCAAAAATAGTACAACTCATACAGCAATCGCTATCACTTGACTTAAAATATTATTGCCCTTCCTTGCCTTTAGAGGAGTGCCCTTTGCCGTGCTGATGTTGTTACATGCCTTACTTCTTGCCTATATCACACTGCCAACTTTTTCTAAGCTCTATAGTAAACATTAAATCTGTTACGAAAAAAGAACTAAACAAAATAAACACAATACGATCAGCTTTAAAAAACCGGAAAAAACATTTTTAAGGGTTGACAGATTGTCGATTTGCACTCTGTTTGGGTGGGGGTGCTCAGAGTTGAAACTTCACATGATGACTCCCAATGGCCTCTTCATAAATCCGCTCGGTTTTCGCTAAAAACCGACATGCGGTTCAGACGCAATCTGGGCGTATCGGTTTTTGGGTTTTATCGATATTCCGCGCTGTTTAGGGGTCCGTGGTCATGAAACTTCTGAACAACACTTCTAATGGTAGACTCTAAGAGGGTGTCAAATTTGGTTGAAATGCGATCATTCCTTCTGTAAGCAGAATTTTTTTCAATTATCGATTTTTTAGATTATCGATTTTTTCGGAACCTGATTTCGAACTCAAAAATCGGGCTTCGTCATGTCCTTACGGCAGCCATTTGCAAACTTGTGTTGAAAACCGCATCGAAATCAGATGAGAAATGCGGCCTGGACGAGGTAACAACGCCCACGACAGACACACAGACAGACAACATGAGAAAGATAGATAGATAGATAGATAGATAGATAGATAGATAACGTTGGTCTTGATAATAAAATATAAATTGTACCTGAAATTTATATTATTAACTACATTACTTATATGTAGACTATTATCCTTATATTTGTTGTTATTATCTCAACGTTTCTGCACTTGTGCTTCCTAGTTTTCATCCGGGTGGGCTTCAGCGTACTTCGACTGAAGCCATTATTTAACCTCCGTGGTTAGATTATTCACATCCTGAGTTCTACGAATACCTTGTCTATTTAATTCTGCTCAGTTATTACTCTTCCTGTTCCACCGAGTCCAAGTATACACTCTCCCAGATTAAAGATTTATCTCGCTTAACTTGACTGCAGCTGATAAATTTCCCGAAGCTTAACCTGATCGCTAAACATCTGTGAAGGCATGAAACCACATCGACCAAAACCTTCTGATAATAACAAACATGACGACAATAATCTGCCTGGAAAGAATATAAATAATGATAACACCTCATCCTAGAAATTCACACAATTCATTGATAGAACAGATTATGTGATGCGAGTTATACGTTACTTAATTCCTTGGTTGTCAGGCTGAGATCAAAGTGAAATATCTGTTCTCCTAGTCAATAATTGTAATTATAATATTAGCATTTTCATTGAAAAGCAGCTAGTGTTACTGTGGGTTGAAAATGATAGAATATTTTTTATTAAAACACTTTTCGAGAAAACATGTTTCTTATTGCTCCTTCCAGTAGAGATGGGAGACTTCCTTACTAACGTATAATCTGAATTAATGTTAGTGAACGCCAAACCGAATAGAAAAACACCTGATGAAATCCCTAAAGCACAAATGCCGAAGCGTTGAAATAATAACAAATTTATGAGTGAATGTAAATGCTTTCTCTTCCAGTTACATATGGTTTCCATTTTAGTTTTTGCTTTTGTCAAAAAATCTCAGCTGATGAGGTAGAGGGGTTGTTCTGTTATTACTTACTGTTCTTTGTTTGTGATTCTGTAACGCCAGTGTATAAGGTTCGATAAACGATAGCCCGCGGTAAGACATACAAGCTCCATTCACTGGAAGCCATTTTGAATCACTGATCTGAGTTGTACACACCGGACCGCTTAGATATTTCTAAACCAATTTGATGCCATGCATGTTATCCATTTGAAAGTCACGATCTGACGAGGCTATTATATACATGACCCAAGCACTGATGTTTTAATCTGTTAACCTCTTGCGGTGTTATGCAGTAGAAATGTTTCGAATTATCTTTACAGGCATCCTGCAAAAATGGAACCTATTCACAATACAACAATTCTAAAATCGATGAGTGAACAAAGAAAATGTGCTAGAGAGTCGTGTAGATTTGTTTTCACGTTATCTTCATTATAGACACTTGATACATTTGAAAACAATAATAATGACAATAATGATGATGATGATGATGATGATGATAATCTCTATTATCATACTGCATGTCTTTCCCTTAGTTTGATCCTTATATAGATCGCACGACAGTAACGCACTGCAAAAACCCCATAAATAAATGACTCTTCCGTTTTGACCGCGTGAAAACACGGAGACGCTACTTGGTTTCAGTGAAAGAAAGAAAGAAAGAAAGAAAGAAAGAAAGAAAGAAAGAAAGAAAGAAAGTGTTTAAAGGCTGTTTGGGTGAAATGGAAAAGTTTTCAGTTTCAAATATTTTAATTGTACACATTTACTTGTTAAAATAACGACCATCATTCATATTTTGGATTGTCGCTGTAATAACTTCTTAAAGTCGTTAAGCTCAAATATTTAACGACTACGGATATCTTGTTGTAGAACTTGTCATGAGCTTACTCAATCATTAACTTAAGAATTAAGATTCATCAGAATATTAAAATAGTAAAACCGTGAAATTTTCGCGGATATTTCTAATAATAATAATAATAATAATAATAATAATAATAATAATAATAATAAATAGATGTACTAATATCAAATAAGCGAGGAGAAAGAAATGTCGGAAAAGCGGGTGATGACTCCTGATCTTCTTCGAAGTATCTGATGTCAATGCGGGTGGCAATTGCTGTAATTTCTCTTATAGAAGGGAAGAAGAAGAAGAAGAAGAAGAAGAAGAAGAAGAAGAAGAAGAAGAAGAAGAGCATGAGAAAGAGATGAGCTTGACGATGATGGACGAAATGTTTGGGAATTAGTGGAAAAGAAACGTAAGGTGGAATCCCCGGAGGGGTCGACCTGAAAAGAAATGCCGCTGTATAAATGTAAACATTAAAACACTTCAATCTACTGTTATCTTTTATTTGTTTTAAAATCACCCTTTACTTCGGCATGTAGCAGTGTATGATTGAATGCGGTCGTGTGTGTGTGTGTATGTGTTCGCACGTTATTTTGCGTTCATCTGGAGCGCAAAGGTTTCACCAAGTGAGAACGTCTGACGATGTAGCTCGCTATTAATTTCTCCCTGCAGCAGCTGCCGAAGATATCTCGCGAGAAGCATTTGTATTGCGCTCTTTTTTACCTTGGTAGTCCTGCGTATGACGATAAACTACAACCGGCAGCAATGATCGGGAGATTGGAGGAGTTTTCAGGAGCGTGGAACGACCTCTTAGCTGTTGTTCTCAGGTTCACCCAGCCCCGGGGTGGAAGTACCTGTTAGGGTCCCAGCTATGAAAAAATAATGAACCTCCAAACTAGAATGGAAAATAATTTACATTAATCGGACTCTTGTCCTCATCTTTGTCACCATATTTATTACAAATCAAAATATCTAAGTTTTTTTCCGGACGAGTATAATTACTTATAATTATAAGATTATATATATATATATATATATATATATATATATATATATATATATATACTTAGGAGAATCAGCTACCTTGGTTTCAACATTACGGTCTCCTCAGGCGATTTTTATCAATTGACATCCCAACGCTTTATTAAAAAAAAAAATGAATGAACGCAATATTAATTTTAAAAAAGTAAACAAACGCACGACGTTAGGTGTAATAGCAAAGGATGAAGAGGATATGAAGAAGGAACTGCTTCTTGGTTTGATTCAACTCTGTATATATATATATATATATATATATATATATATATATATATATATATATATATATATATATACGCCTGTTTATAGTCCGCTAATATATATATATATATATATATATATATATATATATATATATATATATTAGATATATAGCGAGGATAATCTCTATATTAGATATATAAATTAGCGGAATATCACCCTAATAGATTAAACAAAATGCAACTAATTCAAATTTAATTATAGAATAATAGCATTCTCTTGAATTACTGTATATACACGTGTAACACGTGATCTTGCGTATCGTGCGACCCCCAAATTTTCACATATAAAAATGATTTTATCACGTACCTCGTGTATAATGTGAGTTCCTTTTTTTGAGAGACCAATTTAGAATACACCGACCTCTTACTATCATCTCTTTATCCCACCTTCTAAATACGTTAAAAATGTAAAAGAGAACGATCGTTAGTAACGCTATACTCGTTGCGTAAACGCGTACAGTCATAAACAACGGAAAGAGAAACAGCCAAATATCCTATAAATGTAAACAATGGAAAAGATGCATATTCGCCGTTTATATTTTATAATACGATATTATTATGTGAATATTATATGCATTATTATGGGATACAATTAGGTAAATCATTTGACATTATTCTCCACACTTGACAAATACTGACGTTATTTTCAGTTAACAATATGAAAATAGCGTTTCTCTACATTCCAGTTGCTAGGAACATTCTGATTTTTGTTTTCATTAGTTACCTTATTTAATTAAATTCATTTCGTATTTTGCTTTGATAAAGTCCACATTACTAGTTTTCCTATTGTCATTTTTATTCATAAAACACTTGTATCAAAATCATATTTATTTTAAATACAGCTGTACTTTTTGTCTACAGTAAATGGATATATGATTTGGTCATATGCCAGCAGCAGATACACTAATTTTATATCTCGTGTATGATCTGATTCCTTTAAAATTATCTTCAAAATTAAGTCCTCAAAAGTCGCATGATACCCAGGCATATACAGTAATTATAAAGTTTAATTTTTTAAATTGAGATTTCGGTATTAAATTGCCCAGAGTGGTGTTGATATTCCGTTAAAAAGCAACAAACCGACCAACCAAACTTTTTTACCTTTATAGTGAATCAGATTCAGTATAGGTGCAGTAATGGATAGCGGCTTGGATTGAGGATTCGGAGAGCCGAGTTCGAATTCCAGTCGAATCCATTACATTCACTTACGTACTAACCCCCTTGGGAAAGGTGTGAATCCTCTTTCTTCTCCCTCCAGCTATGGGTAAATAGCAGGACAGACTGGGTTCTATAGCCTTGGATAGCAACTGGTCTAGGAGAAGGAAAACTCTGAATTCAAACCAGCTCTTAGAGGAGGGTGAATGGAGTCTCTCTGAGCCTTGGTTGGCAATCCATTTAGTGTTGGTGTCACGATAAAAACACCCTTGGTAGCCCTAGAGAAGCATCAAGAATTCAGCTATTTGACAAGATTATGAACTACACCAATCAAAGTATTGGTGAGTTCAATCTCGGCTGAGGACGCAAGATGATGATGATAGTTTAGTAGATTGTGAAAGCGATGATTATCATGAAGCAGATGACGAGATATTCTTCACGGGAAGTTACATAGATGCAAGTATTTTAAATCTTACAAAGAGTCAGATAATTAAACAGCACAGTACGAAGTTAGAGATTGAAGGCGTGGATTGAAAAAAAATATTCTGTAACGGGTGATAAGATATTTAATTAAGATGACGTTACACAAAATACCTCGTTCTCACGAGTTTGACTGTACTAGATTTTATGTATTTGCATTTACGTATATATTTATGCATGTAGTCGTGTTGATGGATCTTTATGTACAAGAATATATTCAAACATATTTTCTATTTGAATTTCGAGGATAGAGGAGTTACCATGCTGACTATTGTCATCATATTTGTTTTAATTATCACAAACGTTCGGGTGTTTTGTTCTCTTGCTTTCATCAGGTGTATGTCGATGCGGTTATCATACAAGGATTTCTGAAACGAGCCGTTTACTTAATCTACGGGGGTAGAAAGTTCACGTTCCATTGCGCATGTCTACGGATATTACATCTAATTGTCAAGTTTTAATACTGCTTGGTTATTGCTCAATTTGTTTCCAATGACGCGCTACGCAGATAAGGGTTTGAACTTACAATTACTATTATGTCAATTACTATTATGTCATTCGCAAACTAACGCTTTAAGCAACTAGGCTATTGTCCACGAGATATAGATGTATATATAGAGAGGAATGGCATAGGAATTAAAACTAGATTTTAGCTGTCATTTCCTACCTCTAGTCCGATTATCAAAATACAGACATATATATATATATATATATATATATATATATATATATATATATATATATATATATATACAGTCGGTGGGTGGGTGTAAACGGTAGTGTCAGAGCTATGCCGCCCGGAACTTCGTTCCTGGTAGGGCCACCCAAGACGGACAGGTCTGACACACACGCCGGCTAACAAGGGCTCTGGTGAAAATCCAAGGAGCGTCTGCATCGGTAACCGGCGGCTTCTGGTCGTTCCTGTCTCTGCGTCTGTGGGAATCCCGCGGCAAGCAAGAACGTTATTCGAGTAGGCCTGGGTACCCTACTTCTGTAATTTATCCCAAGAATCTTCTTCTCATAACAGGAAGAAGCCGGCTCAATCCGCTCAGGGTGAATGCCGCATCAGTACAGTACAGTATATATATATATATATATATATATATATATATATATATATATATATATATATATATAAACTGATTTAAAATATGGCTTCTTCGCTACACAGTAACAACCATGTTTCAAACACTGAAGCGAGAAACTTCAAATTTAATTATATAATTAAATTATATATATATATATATATATATATATATATATATATATATGATAATGTTATTAAGCAACAGACTATATGAAAGGAATTTGCTTAAAGAAAATAGATAAAACTTGTCTATATTATTTGATGAAACATACATTAATGAAAAAAAATGCTGCCTAAATACACGCAATATACATGACATATATATATATATATATATATATATATATATATATATATATATAAACTGATTTAAAATATGGCTTCTTCGCTACACAGTAACAACCATGTTTCAAACACTGAAGCGAGAAACGTCAAATTTAATTATATAATTAAATTATATATATATATATATATATATATATATATATATATATATATATATATATATATATATATATATATATATATATATGATAATGTTATTAAGCTTAACAGACTATATGAAAGGAATTTGCTTAAAGGAAATAGATAAAACTTGTCTATATTATTTGATGAAACATACATTAATGGAAAAAATGCTGCCTAAATACACGCAATATACATGACATGATATATATATATATATATATATATATATATATATATATATATATATTCGCTGTTCTTTAAGGTTCTTGATTGTAACTTGAAGATGGAAACCAGAATATGAATATTGATATTAGCTTTTCTTTTTTATTCCTCATTTTCCTTGAGTAATAGTTTGTTTTACTACAAGCCAACATACCCAAGGTTTTTCCAAGCGAGTACCACTATATATATATATATATATATATATATATATATATATATATATATATATATATATTATTCCAGGATCGTTTTCCAACTTCTTCCAAATGATCTTTATCCTCTTTAACCTTCTAACTTTCTCTTCTGGTGTAACAAGTTATGGCAGAAATTTCAACTACGATTTCTTTTTCAAGTCTTTTTTCCACTGCACTTTTGACTCTCATAGGTGAAACTCCTCTTTCACGTCTTATGGATTAAGTTGGATTTTTTTTTTTAACTCTAAGTTGAAATGATAATCCCTCTTGTGATCTCCTGATTCTGTTTTCCTCTCTACAGTTCCCTCTTTTTTAAATTTATTCGCCATTCTTTAAGGTTCTTGATTGGAACTTGAAGATGGAAACCAGAATATGAATATTGATGTTTTTCCTGAAGGTATGAATGATTTGTCCTCTCACCATTGCTCAATTGAGAAGACAGCGAAACTGACACAAAATTATTTAAACCTGTCCATTTTGTCGCTGAATAACTTAAAATGTTTTTTTTTTTGTGATTCTTATGCCAAATGGTATGGAAATGGGTAATCATCTTATCTGAAAACCAAGAAAAATAATTCATAATTTAGTGTTTTTAGATATTAAACAATTTGGACAATTTTGCTGTTACAACCGGTATATATATGAAGAAATATAGTTTTAAGGTTTGCTATATTTATGGGATGAAGTGCTCAACATCAGAGAGAGGGCGTATGTAAATATAAATATAGAAGTGAACACTGAAATCAAGACTCAGAGGCGACAGGCTGTTTCATGCTGGACGCAATCGTCAGGTCT